CTGAGAGGGTTAGGCGGTCATTTGTATCTAGGTTAAAAAAAAGTTACACTCACCCAATCCTCGAAACCAGCCGGCTCTTAGGCCAGTCCCTGGAGCAGCAGCGGTCTAAGGTCCTGTGAGTCATCACGTTCTATACATTGTGTATAGGATGTGAGGATGCCAAGGGACATACCAAACAGCTGCAGCGGAGGAAGAGACAGGCTGGAGGAAGCGCCGTCACAGGCGACTGGATCAGAGGATCAGGTGAGTATAACTGTTATTTTTGAACCTAGACAAAATCGAGCAGTTAACACTTGCAGTGCGGGGGGTAGCCCCACTGTAAGGGTTAAGAAATTGTTTCCCAGGAGTTCTGCTTTAACAATGATCTAAAACATACACAGCAGGTTTACAAAAAAAAAAAACCAAAGTAAACTGTTTGCATTAACCAAGGGGAACTAACAGCTGCTAACAAATGGCACCAGCACCACTATGGACAGCAAAGACACCAGCCTTTTCTCCAGTTTTTGCCACCATCATAACTGTGCTCATTGGTCAGTACAACTTGATTGGTACATTTTCAGTATCCAGTGCTGAGCCAATAGTCAAGCAGTAGTGACACCTTTTAGCATAACAAAGAGCTCAATGGCAAGGGGTGTCAGAGGGTCCAGAGTAGTTAAACAGGTCACATTTTTTTAGAAAATTGAACAAAAAGACATTGTACCTACACAGGGCGCAAAATCTTTAGAGCCCTCCGGCTAACTCCGTAGCAGCTGGCAGTGTCACCTGTGATAGGTGTCATTGATCTTAACTTGATGTATGTTATCAAGGACCAGCAGCAGGAGAGCTGTCAGCATAGTCAGTACACTACTAGGAAGCATTGCTGGGAGCTGAACGTTAGCACCAATATTAATAAGTATAATTATATTTTATATTAAAAGGATTAGTGGTCACCCACTCACTGTTCAACCCTAATACAAACTTCTTTAAACTCTAGCTTCATTAAACATGAGAACTTGTAGAACTACAAATCTCAGTCCTCCTATAAGGTTTTAACAGAGGTGAAACTCTGCTATTTGTGGCATCATTAGGCATAATGGGTTAATTTCAGGTCTGTAGCAAAAGTTCAGGAGGGCAAAAAAATTACACAGCTAAGATAAATAAGCAAATGCTTCTTAGGGGGAATCTGTGACTAGATGATCCGGAACTCTGACTTCAACTTTCTATACTGGAAACCCTTACACTATAGTTTTCCTAATCAACCACCCTAATGGGACCCCCTCTTACCCAGGCCCCAGAGCAGATGGGGATGAGTGGCTATTATGCATGCAGCGGCATGTGTGGCCATGGTTACGCCTCTGACACACCAGCAGGAAAAAGATCATTAGCGACAATAATCTACTTTTTTGATTATTTAAAGCTATTAAAATTGGTGTGTTGCCCTCAGGCCTGCTTCCTTCAGTCTGAAAAACTCTATGCCAAACTGAAAGAAGCATGGCTGGCTGTGTACTTTAAAGGCTTTTCTCTGACCAACATCGTAGCCTGAATAAAGAGAGAAGACACTGCTTGACTCGCTTGGCTGCCTGTTTAGTGTTCAAAATTGTGCCAACCTGACTAACCTGGGGAAGGGGGGTGAGGAGGTTAAAATTGGCGTTACATAACTTTTCTGATCATTGATTATATGCTTATGCAGTACACGTCCTGCACTACACAATAATGGGTGCAAGGTCTATAACATGACATTGCTTAAATGTTGAAATAATTAGGCGTTTACTAGTGAAGATTATCTACCAATAATCTATTGCAAATCTATGCACAGAAAACTAAAGAGTTATCTGAAACAACTAAATATTTAGGTAAATGTCAGTGTGAAGTAAACATGCCCTGTTGCACAAGAGTTTACTTCTAAAAATACACAACTATTCTACAGCACAGTCAAGAAGGAACTATCCAATCACTAGGAATTTTAAGCTATGTTTTATGGGGGGGAAACACATCTGCCCAACTTATTAACTTCACAATGTTTTCTCCAGCTAGGGAAGTACACATCTTCAGGAAGCAGCTGCAGAAAGTGCCAAGCACAGTCTCAGTTTTACTACATTATTATTTGAATAGTATGTTAAAATCTATCAATGCAATGATTAAGTTAGAAAAATGAATGAAATTTTGTTTTGCCTTTTTTTTAAAGTCTGTGGTGCGTGCATCGAAGACAGTCTTCGCCCCTATGAACAATAAGAGTGAATCGTGAAATCACAAACACACAAAAAAGTGCACGAGGGTGCTTTTGGGCCTCCTCCGAAGAGGAAGGGCCTTGAAATCCATGAACCTCCCGGGGGCGCAAGGCCTAAGCCAGGTGGACAGACCCTTAGGGACCTACTAAAGCCGGTCCACAAAGTACTAGGTGGGTGCTCTCCCAGAGAGAGACCCCTGAATGGGGGGAGGTAAAGAAAGCCAATAGAGGCCACACAACCTCCACCCCTAACATCAGGGTGGGCCCCGAAGGTACCCATACCCTCCGTCTTCTGTGGGGTCAAAGTGGTTGTGCATAAAAATAAGTGCTCAAAATAAATAAGTGCCAGTGCTAAGACATGGTAGGTCTTCCAGCCTAGATAAAAAAAATTGCTCCGACTAGCCAAAAAACCTGCCCAAAAAGCGTAGTGCAGAAAAAGCTTGAAGTGCAGTGACCTAGTGATGGTGAATCACAGTGGGGTCCAAAACCCATAGTGATTTTCTGGCACCCCTGGGATGCCACCCCTAGGGGGCACAGCACCGCGAGCCTCTGCGGTTCCAACTATCCGGCCAGACAAGAGCAGCCCCATTCCCATCAGAAGGCATTACCAAAAGAAAGGTCCCTACCTACAACTGGGGACAAGCCTGGTGTACCAGGCCAGAATCAACCCAGGAGGAGAGCCAT